GGGCGGCGCGGCGCTGCGCGGGCAGCCCGCGGGCGCCTGCGGGCCGTGGGACATGCGCGACCGCCTGGGCACGGGCGGCTTCGGCAACGTGTGTCTCTACCAGCACCAGGTGCGGGGGGACGGGGAGCGGGACGGGCAGCGGGCGGGCGGGCGGCTCACGCCGCTGTGTCCCGCAGGACTCGGGCGCCAGGGTGGCCGTCAAGTCCTGCCGGCTGGAGCTCAGCGTCAAGAACAAGGAGCGCTGGTGCCACGAGATCGACATCATGAAGAAGTGAGTGCGGCCTGGCCCGGCAAAGCCCGGCCTGGCAAAGCCCGGCCCGGCCGCAGGGCCTGCGCCGCGGGGACAGGGCCCGGGACACTCGCGGTCCCGCGGGAGCCGCTCTGGCGGCACCCCGGGCTCCCGCGGGAGCAGCTCCGCTGCGCCCGGCCGCTCGCCGGGGACGTCCGTGCCGRCCGGGGGGACGTCCGTGCGGGAGCYGGGCACGTCCCGGCCGCGCCAGGGCGCTGGGAATGGCCCTTCCCACCGTGCCCCGCTCCCGGCTCCGGACGAGCGGCCGTTCGTCCCAGGCAGCCCCCCTCGTCCCTCCCCATCCCGTCCCTCTGAGACCCCTGCGGAGCAGAGCTGGCCGAATCCGTCCCCGTGGTGGCTCCTCGGGGCGCTCGGTCGCTCCTCGGGGCGCTCGGTCGCTCCTCGGGACGTCGGGGGTGTCGTGGAGCTGCTCCCCGCTCCGGAGCACAGCTCCCTGGCGAGGCGGACGCCCTGCGGGAGCGTCGCCCAGCTCCCGCTGCCCCGGGCCGCACCGTTTCCCTGCACGCCGGGTTACGTGGGCAGAGCAGCCCGCGCCAGGGCCGAGTTCGCAGCGCGGGGCAGTCGCTTCGCATCCCCATTGCAAAGGGCCCTGTTTGTGCAGCTCCCTCCGTGATCCCGCTCGCAGGCTCTGGGCTGCGTGGACGGGAGTCATTCATCTTCACCCCCTTCTAAACACATTTATTTAGAAGGGTTTATTCCGGAGGTTGGCACATCCCGAGACAGCCGGGAGTCGCGTGCGTGAACGCAGTTGCACAAATGATTTTTTTGCCGGTGTGCTACACGTCTGGTTTTGCGTCTGTGGTGTGGTCCCACAGAGCTAACATCTTAGAAACCTTCTGGACTAAAGGGGGGCTGACCCCCACGTGCAGAAATAAAAMCACACGTGGAACGGCTGGACTAAGAACATGCAGAAATCAAGAATCAGAGCTTGGATCTCCGTCATCCAAGTCCTCCAAGGACTTGGAGACCACGTGTCYGCTCGCTGCGGGTTAGTGTAGATGCGAGGTATGGATTTCACGTGTTTTGATACTGGTAGGTGCCCGGACATTTGCGGAAAAGCGATGTCACTTGAAACACAGAGTGTGCTCGGGGGTTCTTCTTGTCCTTCTGAAAGGGGTTGGACTCCTCAGGAAGCTCTCCGTGTGCCTAGGTTGAACCATCCCAACGTGGTAAAAGCCTGTGAAGTCCCCGAGGAGATGAACTTCCTCGTGAACGACGTTCCCCTGCTAGCAATGGAGTATTGCTCSGGGGGCGACCTCCGCAAGGTAAGCTCTGCCCTGCCTCGACAAGGCGCCAGCTTTCCCAGCTCTCTTGTCCTGACGTTGCTCATCCGTGAAACCACACGCGTTAACGTGGCTCAAAAAAACCCCCACGGCACCGTAAACATGACATGGTTCGAAAAAAAACCCCACTGCTCAATGCGGAGTGAGGCTTGTGCTGTGAAGCCGGGTGACGGAGGCAGGAATCCAGGGGCAGATGGTGGTTTTTCCTGGAGCAGTGTCTCATTCCGTAGGACCGCGGCAGCATTAGCGCAGCCTCCYGTCGCCTGAATGTTGGCACCCACGCGCTGAGGGTATTTGTGGCTGTGGCTCTGTATCTCTGCGCACTCTGACTGGCTTTTACTCCACGTATCCAGTATTTTGTTGTTTTGGGCCGCAGGGAAGGCTCTTCATTTTCTTGTGCTAAGCTCAGGCCACCAAAACTTCCAGGATTTTTCCATTTCCCTTCCAAACCGGGAGCTGCCTCYGCAAAGCAACAGCAGCACCCAAGAGTAAATGAATTTTTTTTCCAAGCAGCAGCTTTATGGCCAGATAGTTTCTCTGCTCCCTTTCCACTGCAGCCGGATTCAGGAAATAGCTTTTTCCCTTTAGGATGAAGTAGCAGGCTTCCATTGCTTAAAGCTTGTTTAGAAATCACCTCACGTAAGTATTTGGGAAGCCCTTTTCTGTTTTTGTTTGCCAATGTTCTGGTTTTTTTGCCAATGTTAAATAGCAGATAGCATGGAAAGGGTGACAGCAAAAGGAGGCCACTCGGAGGTTTCCAACTGGGATAGCAGGCCACAAGCTCAGTGATGCTTGGCCTTTGTATTTSTGCAGTACAAATTTTGGGAAAGCTCCCAGGAAAACTGGGAAGCAGTGGGCAAGAAATTCGGGGTTGTATCCGCTCTGCTTTCTGCACAGTGGTTGGCTGTTTAATTTGTGATAAACCCTTGGAATTCATCATCAACGAAAGCACTCCAC